GCGAAGAGTGAAGATGAAAAAGAAAATCGAAAAATCGAATAAGTTTTCTTTTTAGAACTTTCTATTTTCTCTACCACTCTGAGGTCTCTTTTTTCTTCTCACAACAGATCAGAATTCTTATTCAATGATTTTCAGGGTGACTTTTAACATGAGAAATTGTTGAATACTTAAGTAGGTGAGAAAAAAGTAACAAACAAAAGAAATGATCATAGTGATCAATATGATGTTCATGAGTATGGAAAAGTATTTGGACAAAAATGGGAATACTCAAGATTCTGAATATCAGATTATTCAGAGATATTTTCCAATGGAAATAAAAGTGATAGAAACACATTAGCCATTTAAAGGAATAGCCGAGAGAAAAGAAAAAAGTAATTTTCGTGTTTAGAACTTGCTTTTTTTTGAGAATATATTTCATCCAAAGTGAATATATCGAATATGTATAAATAAATCGAGAATGGTAAGAGGGTATTCACTGTTCGTATTAGTACATTGTCAAGGTAATAAAGAGGGAGAGTGAAAATTGTGATATGAAATTCAAGGTAAGTCTCAAATAGCTCACAAGAAATTCTTGACAGATTTATCGTTATCTATCATGGGAATCGTATATTCGTTGAATATTTACACTGAAGAATTTTTTCTTCTTCTTTCTCTCTTTTTTTCATCCTCATCTTTTTTTACATCATTTTCAGCTCTACATCTTATCTAACATTATCCCTTCGAGTAAAGTTATTGTCAAATTCACAGGAAGATGAAGAAGAGGAAAAAAACCTTCTCTCTCATCATCGATCAGAACTTCAATTGTGAACATTGAGAAACATGATAAAGATAAGAATGATATTAACCCCTCTTCAGAACTGGCCAGGGATCTGTAAAGTATGAAAAATTGCTCAAAACTTATGGTCAACATATTCCAATGATCACTGAATTTTATTCAAGCTTGAAAGTTTTTTCGACTCATCCAAAATTGGTAGGATAAATTCAACTAAAAGTTTATCCTTTTTGTTACCTCTTCTTGCTGTTCGTAAATTCATGATGATTACATGATTTATATCTACAAAAGTTCAGTGGTAAAATATTTCAAGCATCAAGAATGACAAATTGGCTGTAAAAAGGTAACAATATTTACTTTTACCTGGAACTTTTTCCCCTTACTCATTCTGAGTAGATGAACAACCTGAGGGGAGGAAAGAAAAGAGAAAATAATAAAGAGATGAGATCAGTTTCTCTAATGATTTCTAAACTTCATGAAGCTCACAATTCGTATTCAGAACTTTCTCTCTCTCTCTTTCTTTCTTTCTTTCTTTCTTTCTTTTTTTCTTTCTTTCCTTCCAAAAGTTTCTTTATTGATGTTATTAGAATTTATTTTTATGACTTGCTATCTGAATGTTATATAAGTTATGCTTTCGTTAGGTAAAAGTGGGATTTTGATGGTTAACAATGTTGAAAGTGGGTTAACTTGGGTGTTGGTGAAAAAATAATGATATTGAATTGAGTTGAAAACTGTAAACATGTTGGTGAATTGATTTAATCATGAAAATCTTTATGAATAAGGAATGAAATAGAAAAAGATATAAACTCGATCATGATTATCTGTGAGCAGGAAAATTATGATGGAAATTGGAATCAATTGATCGGTAAAAGAGTAAATTGAGTTTATCATTGGTTTGAATATTTTTTTTGGTCGTAAACAAAAAGTAAAATTCAACCATTTCAATTGTCCACTTGGAATAAAATCCAAATGGTCAGTCTGAAATTCACTCAAAGGTAGAAGCTTTTCTTTAATCATCTCGCTCAAACAATATCATCGCCATTATCTCCATGATGACGATTCAATACTTATGAGTAGGATTAAGATGCTGTTGATTGGACTTCATTGACTTAATGATTATTCAATGATCATCAGAAAGTTTTCCTGTCTAATTAATTTCGATTTGGTTGAAGGTTTTATTGTTATTTGGTTAGAGATTAAATTTTACTTTAATTGGTACCAGAAAATGTTAGATATTGATTAGTAAATTGCTTGATTAGATAAAGTATTTACCTAATATATATTATTACTGATTAAGAAGTAAAATCAAGGATTGAAAATTTTCTCGGTTTCACGATTGACTAAAGCTATTGTATTATAACGGTAAATGATATTGGATTGAATTTGTTTGATTAAATGAATGATGTTTAGGAAGTAGGATTAAGGGATTGGTGAGAGTGACGATAAAAGGATGAGTTAGATAGACAGAGACAGAGAAAGAAAAGGATCTGGATACTCAAGGAAAGTGGGAAGAGGGTTAAAGAGACCCGGAAGTTGAATAGTTAACATGAGTCGAGAAGGGAAGAGTCAAAATAGAGATGAGGTCAACTGAGAAGATACTTTACAAATGAAAGAAGAGAGAGAGAAAGAGAGAGAAAGAGAGAGAGAGAGATGAAGATGATGAGCAATAATAGAGGGGAAAGAGTTTGATGAAAAAGGTTTGATTGAAAGTTAATGAAGCGAAATGATTGTTTACTATTGATTAGAAGTTGAAAGGTGAAAGGGAATTCTGAATGTTCATGATGATGTTTCATGATGAATCTAATGAATGAGTGAAAGATGAAGCTTTTTTTTCATCAATAAGTTTTGTCATACCTCAAGATGATGATGATGATGAGTAAAATGAATGTTTAAATGTAATCATGACCAATGGGTATCTAAATATTTTCTTACTCTTTCAGTGATCATTCATTTATGGTTGACCATTCATTCATTGGGTAACCAAGGAAAATGTAACAGAATCAAATGAGGTAAGGGAATGAATGATTCTTGAAGATCACATTCAGTTATCATGATGAATAGGTTTTACTGTGGGTTGGAATGGTGGTTGTATATCTAAACTTTATTGAACATGAATGTGAATGATTTTCTCTCTCATCTTCCCTCAAAGATGATGATGAGTAAGATGAAAATGGAAAGGTAGCAAATATATATTATTATTATCATCGTGATTATTATGATATTAAATGAAGACTGATAAACCGTTAGCAGGAAAATGAAGGTGAAAAGGTAAAAGTAACTTTGAAAATGGTAAAGTCACTTGAGAATTGAAGACAAAAGCAGTAAAAGTCAGAAGTGAAATGAAGATGAGGATGAGGATGAGGATGATGGAGATAAAAAAGAAAGTAAAGAAAGAGTGAGATTCAAGAAACTTTCCCCCCTTCTCATGTCACACATTTAGACACATTTTCACCTAATAAATACTCTTGCATCATCATCTTAGTTTCACAACTAATACATTGAATTGATATAATATCATTTAGACCATGAATTCAATGGTTATCATGAGGATTCATCAGCATTTCAAGAGAGACTTCAAGAAGATGAATATTAAGATGATGATGATAAGTGAAATGTTACTTAGCCAAAAAATGGAAGTCATCTAATTGTATGCTTATTGTATTCATCAATTTGTTCAATTTTCATCCTATTCCAATGCTTTGGTGTTTTCATTGTGATTTATATGAATTATCACAAATCAATTATGCAGCAAAAAATCACAATTTGATTGATTTGAGATTAGTGATTAGTGTGGTGAAATTGATTCAGTTGAATTGAAACTGTTCCTCAACTTAATCGGTTGATTCTGATTGAATTAAGTAAGTGAATCAATCAAAGGTGTAAACCTTTGACTATCAAGGTGGATTCAAGAGATTTAAGTAAGATAAGGTTTAGAATTGACATTTAATTTATTGCAATTAACTTAATGTATCTAAAGTAAGGACTAATTGGTTACCTGAATATCAACTTAATCTAAATAATATTAAATCGAAACGATGATGATGATCATTTGATTGCAATTAAAAGTCAAAACAACTAGAAAAGTTCAGTAGAGTTGGATAAGTAATAGTTATCAGATTATCATCATCATCTTGACCATTTGGATGACCTTTATTGACAATAATAAGATCAATTCTGTCATACTCAGACTCATGAAAATGGTCACCAAAAGGAGGGAAAAAGTGATTAGGATAAAAATAACATCGTCATCACTACGATAAAATGTTCAATTCTCACTTTTGACTCCGAAATAGTAGTGACTGTATCTACCTGAGAGGAAGACAAGCAAAAAGTTCAGGAAAACTACTCAGTCTCATCATGATTCAATGTAATTTTAGATTCAAATTCAGGTACAAGGTAAGTGTATCAAGGTAATTGGCTTTAAATATCAATGGGTTGATACATGAATTAATATGCATCAACAATTTAACCAACCAATTAACTGGAATTTATTTAAATAAGAGAAAGTGAAAGGTAGTGATAAATTTGATTACCATGAATGATTTAGATTCTATGTAATTCCAGAAATAGATCAGAGTTTATGGTCAGTCTTTTTGATTAATTTTGGATTCTTAGGTCATTTTTTCACCAAAAAATTCCATGATTAATGAACTTTTATCATGATAGATTTGCGAAAAATAAAAATAAATGCAAACAAATGAACCAGAAGCTCATGATATTTGGACACAAATTATATCTCATGATGAATGATGACCAGTGAATTAACTGTTATCAAAATCTATTAGCATTTCTTATTATTAATTCATATTATTTGGTTACTAAATAAGTTCAGAATTCATTCAAGTAGCTGAACATGATGATCTGGAGCTTTATAATCCCAACACTTCTTACCGATTCATCAATTATTTTGAGATAATCTTTTCAAGTAGCTTGATAATTATTAATCTAGTGAGAAATTAATTTTAAATCTTGATGAGAGAGAGGGAAAGAGATTAAAATTCACAATTTACTCAACCAAAATCATCAATAGAATTGATTAAGTCTTTTACTCTTTCGGTTAATCCATGATACAAAAAACAGTGTTAATCTTTAATTCATTTACTATGAACACAAAGATTGGATTAAATGTTTAGATGAGTGGATTTCCATGGATGAAAAAAGGTTTCAAAGTGAGTTGGAAAATTTTCTTCTCGTTAAAAGAAGAAAAAAGTTTGTAAACTCAACTTACCTGAACTTGAGGTTGAGTAGAGTCCAGGGAATTGAATAGCATGGGTAATATTTCATTTTTAATTTCATGTTGACCACTTTTCCGAATCAGAATATTTATATTTTCTAATAATGTAACAGTTGCCTGTGAAACAGAAAGTGACCAGTGGTCAGTTGGTAAGTAAATGGATAAGTATTAGGAAAGGTGATGAAAAAAAATATAACAGAAATATTGAATTAGACCAAGATTAAATTGTGATGAAAATAAAAACGAGACAACTTTGTAATCACATTAACAGATTAGATTAGAAAAGTTAATCACTGTTGATTAAATGAAACGTTAGTTTATTGTATTTACAAGATTTTCAGGTGAATCAATTAATTTGATTTGAAAAAATTTCCAACCAACGGAAAAACGTTAATCAAGTAAATCACATTTTCATGTTGAATTTGAATTTTTGCCAAATTTTATTCTTATTCTTGATAATATCTTAATCATGGTGATGATCAAAATGTTGATGTGAAATTTTCAATTTGAATTAAGTTCAACGATGAATAGATTTATTTATATACTCATACATTTATATGTGTGTATTTGCATTCACTTTGGTTTAAATTGATAAGAATGTGATAATATTAATGATTTAGGATAATGATTAAGGTCGTAATCAGTTAACTGTCAACCTGGATGATAATCAATGATGATCATAATCATTTGATAACCTTAAGGACAATTTACATTTCCAAATGATTAAAGTTACTATTTTTGTGATAAGTTTACCTTCTCAACAGGTTATTCAGAAAATTTCAATTCATGATAAGCGAGATGAATCAGAATCATGATTTACTTTTGGAATTCATGATTTCATTTTCTCATGATGTTATTTTTTTCTACCAATACGATGAAGATGATGAGGTAAGATTGAAATCAATCATTTCTACTTGAATTGAATCGAAATTGAACATTTCCAGAGATTCCATAAGCCCTTCAGAATTTTTGTTTGAATTCTCCCCTCTCAATGTCGAAAGACAGGTAGATAAAGAGAGAGAGAAAGAAAATGAGAGATAAAAATACACCAGGAATCAGAATTTGAATCTGACTGAGAAAAAAAGAATAATAATAAAATTCTGTTGGCTTATTTATCCATTCAAATAGATGATGAAAACTTTTTCTCAATTCTTTCCAATTCTTCAATCTACTTTGGTAGTATAACAAATTTTAGCCTCAATCATGTGATTCTGGCTCAGGGTGAATTCAACCTCGGTGTTTGTATCTATCCATCTTCAATCTACAGGGCTATTCAGCTATTTTCGCCGATGTTTTTCGCGATTTTCTCAGCAACTAAGAGTCAAAGAGACTCGAGACTTGAGTGATATGAGTTTGAGCAATACTCAATTGTCATATTAAAAGATCAAGGTCATTCAGGTCACGTGTAAAATAACACGTTTCAAGGTCATTTGATGGTCATTCTATGATTTGCCACACTTATTCATCTTGGGTTAAGATTTTGAAGTTAGTTGTAACTGTCAATCAGAAGATATTGCAGTTTAATTAAAAACGTACTGAGATTCTTTAATTAATAAAACTTATCATAACAGTTGACCCTAAAGACATAAGAGCCTGAAAATTTGATATTGGTGTTTTCACACATACTTTTTTATGGTAATGCCTTCAAATGACCTTGAAACGTGTTATTTTGCACGTGACCTGAATGACCTTGATCTTTTAATATGACAATTGAGTATTGCTCAAACTCATATCACTCAAGTCTCGAGTCTCTTTGACTCTTAGTTGCTGAGAAAATCGCAAAAAACATCGGCGAAAATAGCTGAATAGCCCTGTATTAGGATTTACCTGATTTCTGAGTTACCTTGAAAAAAATAGGTAAATCTGGTTGTGATATTAATATCACCAAGAAATGACAGAAATAGTAACACGATGAGAAGTTATTACATATTGAGGTAAATTCATTTGAAACTTATTCTGTATCAACATGGTGATCACATGAATGATGAAAAATAATTAACAGAAAAAGAAGAAAAAAATCAATTTCCTCTGCTAATTTATTGGCCATTTATTGGAATCTTTTTCAGTATCAATCTCATCCCAAGGATTACAAATACTATCACTATGATAATCATGGTGAGATATAAAAGTTCATTGGATAAAATGTTTTAGCCTTTCACACAAAGACAATGAACTTTGGTTATAATCTGAAATCATGAAAAAAAGTAACATTTCCCTTTCATATTAACCAGAATTGAAGCAAATGAAGATAAACTCAATTCCTTTATTATTAGAATTAATCTACTCTCCCTGTTGACTTACCCATGAATCCTAAACATACGGTGAAAATCATTTGATTGAAATGATGGTAATACATTGGCATTAAAAGTTCATGAGCATATACTTCATGAAGTTCAGAATTAGCTAGCAAAACAGGAAAAAAAGACTCAAGGTACACACTGAAAATAGAGATTCAACTAGAATTCAATTTGAAAGTTAAAAAACTGTCATCACAAGTTTTGATGGTCAAAAAATGTACAGCCAGAATATCTGTTCATTTCCGTTGACCAAAAGACTTGGCCCTGAATTTTGGTGCCCAGTATATGAACACTATGGTCAAGAGATGGTTTTTGTATAACTAATATGTACAAGCATCAATAAGATTAAACCATCATAAGTATTGACATTAAAATGGTTAACTTGTGAGTTGAACATTTAACTTGAAGAGATAACAATTGAATTATATTGAGAATGAATGTTCAGAACTTTCTACCATGGGACAATTAGCATTTTCATGGCAGGTTAAGCTTGAGTTAAAGGAAAAAGGTTCCATCAAAAGTAATCATTATCATGATGATGGTGATGATGATGATCATCATGAACCATGAAAATAAAAACCACCCTGGCGTAAGGTGAAACATTAATTTGTACCATCAAGTTTTCAGGGTGAATCGATTAGAAATCGATGGAAAAGAAAAGGAAAAAAGCTAAGTAAGTGATTCAGTCTGATAACAGAGATCATTTATCAAGCAAATTGGTCGATAGAGGAAAAAAAGTTCATAAAGTTATCCGAAAATTTCTGAGATTATGTTGTAATATTGTTACATTTTTTTCGGTGAAAAAGTTTTTTATCAGAACTTTTTTTTCTCCTTCTCTCTTTCTCTCTAACTGTTAAGCCTCATTTAAAAACGATCATAAAATAATCTGATAAACATTGAATTGAATTTTTTCATAAACTCTATCTTTCTCCTACCTTTTCAGGATGATCATCATTATTATCATGGTTATCGCATTAGCTTGTCTTTCGCCAAGATAATATAATGCTAACACAATATCAAGGGTGGGAAGATAAAGGTGAAAACCAGGATCCAGCTTCAGGGGGAATGAATAGTTTTCCAACTGTGTTATCAAGGTGATAATGAGTTCAGTGGATAACCATGAATATTTAGTTTCTCTGTGAAAATGTTTTCAAAACCAGAATACAATTGTTGCGTAAATGTTAGATAATTAACTGAATTTTTCCATCGATTTCATATTTGAGTTCAACTTCATTAGAATTCACCATGGGAGGGGATGATGAATCAATGAATCTGTGGTGAGGTATAAAGAAATGAATATAATAAAAGAGAAAAAATAATCTACAAACAAGAACATTATATCAACTTTTCTACTGAATAAAATCGAAAGAAAATGAATTATCAATGTTAATATTCAATCATGTTGATGACAATATTGGGTCTACATGAGTACGCTGAATATGTCATCAAGAATTCATGTGATGACAGAATTCATGGGAATATTTTTTTTCTTCTCTAAATATTCTGATACTCAGAAGAAGAGAGAGAGAGAAAAAACAAATTATTCTTATAACATTGTCATCATTTGTTTATCATCACCAGAGTAAATATTATCATCACAACTATCTCCATGATCTTTTTTATCACTCTATCCCTGCTCGTTATCAGTTCATGATGAATATGTTGAGACTCATGATGATAAGTGTGCATGTTATCATTAGCATTATGACTATTGTAATAAAATGAATAATAAACATAACAGAATTTGAAATAATAATAATTCAACAACTTTCATATCATGATAATTTCAGGGTAAACTATTGTTACCCTTCGGAATGGAAACAAGAAAAAAAATATTAATATACAAACTGAATGGGTGATTACGAATCATTTTTTTTCACCTCATTCTGAATCACAAAAGTTCAGATCTTTTTTCATACTTAACTTCATGTAAGGGCTGATTAAATTTGATAATCTCAACTTTTCTTTCCCCATTTATTACACTTTTAGTGACTAACTAATGATTTCAATATCAGTTCAGGAATCATCAAATACTCACCACCATGATGTTGGCAGAAATACAATTAAAAAAGCTACATCATGATAATAGTAATGATGAATATTATTATTGTTTTGTGTAGATATTCATCATTTTTTCCCACTCATGAATCTGACATCTTTAATCAAATTTTGATGATCTGTCATCATGAATGTTTTCATTGAAACTTTTCAAATTTTTCTAAATTTTTCAGCTGAAGAATTTGCAATAAATCAATTGACAGAACTGATAATAATGATGATACGCCACGAGTTTATCATAACAGTTTAAGACACGATGACTTAAGCTATTGTTATAATTGATGAACAATCTCATGGTGATGATAGCATAGAATAGTTAATAATAATTGTTGAGAATCTGCTTTTTGCTTTTATAATCAAACTTAATTCAACGAGATAACTCAAATAATAAATTGCAATTGATTAACAGTAATACTGCCTTAAGGGTTGTAAATATATTCTAGTGGTTTGAAAGCTCAGTCATTATCATCATTAAATTAAACACAATTAATGCAAATTAATGATAATGTTGACAGTTAATCATTAGCTGAGATAAACTTTTCAAACATTTACTACACTAAGAAACTGACCACTTAACGGATTAACAGTTTAACACTACTACAATTAACTAATAATCATAATGCTTGTCATAATAAACATTGAGTCAATGATATTGATAAACATTAATCAAATGTAAATTTTTGGATATTGAATTGATATCAATTCCTGTGGTATTATTAATACCACAGGAATATAGACTACTTATTAATGTTTACCTTTTAA